GCTTTTTCTGCATTGAGCAGCAGCTGACTGAATTTTCATGACACTCTGACTGTGGGACTCACTCTGTAGTCTTTAGATACATTTGCTTTCATAAAGAACAGTTCTTTTCAACCTTGAATGACTATGGATTATTTTGTGAAGAAGGATAAGATAAAAGAATGTGTGTTCTTGTAAAATTAAATTTTATCTTCATTTCTTTTCCTGAAAATATACCCAGGAATTGAAAATCGACAGGTATTAAAATCTACGTAAGTATACAAAGTAGTTGAGGGATAAAACCATTTGCTTTTATAAAATATCTTTGATTACATGAATAAATTGTGTGCATATAAATGTGTGTCTATATGCTTTCCTTTAAATATGTTTGAAAAGATGTTTGAAACTTGATTATACTATTTATAATTGGCACAGTACTTTGAATTAATGCCAGTACTACATTGTAAAACAGAGTTGTATTTTTTGATATTTAACAATGCTTAACACTTTAAAATGCCACTTCTGAGGAATGAACATGGTGTAACACACTTGAATATGTGTGATGCCAAACTTTTTAAAATAAAATATAAATTATGCTAATTTATTTTCTTTAGTTTAATCTTGGTCATGTTTTGGTGTGTATTTTAAATTTTTTTCTTGAAGTAACACTTTGGCATGAACATTACTGCAGGTTTATGATGAATATAATGAATGTATGGAATTCAACTGAATTTGCATGGTTTTAAGAATTTTTCTGTGTGTATAAATTTAGCTGCTATTAACAGAAGAGAGAACTTTCTGTGAGTAGCCATGTGTGTTGATCAGATACAGTTTTTCTAAGATCTTCAATTAATCTCACTTTAAAAGTGACTAAAACATGTCTTTCTTGAATTACCTTTGAATAAAAGTTTGTATATTATTTGTTTCACAGTGTACGTGATTTTTCACAATTGAGTTCAAAGTTAAGTTTTTCTGTTCTTTTGTAAAATTTGCATTTTCTAACTTTATAAATCTGTGTATTTAATTGGTTGCCAGCGTAACTTGTAAGACAAGACTATTAAGTCAGTAACACTGAAAATTATTTTCCCAAAAAAAGTAACCTTAACTGTCAAGAAAAGTCTCTTAAGAATTGCTGAAATTAACCTTTTTTTTTCTTTTTTATTTCAGATTGCTACCAGGGTACAAATGTTTAGGTTACAGTGTTTTCATTTCTGAGGTAAAGTTTTAGTTGAGCCCTTAATGCAGGGGGCTGCTGACCACCTCACGTTGTGCACTGAAATGAAACTTTTTATATTTTTATGTCACTGATGTGGGCCGGACACAAGATGAAAACAGGTAACCTTGGACCAAAAAGAAAATTAAAGAAAAAAATACATACTCTGAAGTGACTAAGAAATAAATTGTGATTTTGATGCCAAATAAAAGGAATTCAAGAAATGAGAGTAGAGGAGTGGGGTAGGCAGTTGAGGTGCTGGACACAGTAGGAGGAGGTGGGATGGGGTGGAATGGGATGCTGTGATCGTTCCTCTGGAATTTGAAAGGTTAGCACGAGCCCTCACCACAACAGTTGATAATTAAAGGGAAAGATGCCTGTGATAACATTTCTCTGTAGTTATTACAGAGTTCAAATTTAAACATAGAACATAGCCTTAGTTGAACTTTCTATGACAAGAATTTAATCAGAAAAAGCCTATACTCACTTGATGAAAACATGAATTTCTGCATTATTGTGGCCTCTAAGCATATCCTTTGTCACCAGATTTGTTGAGAGTCTGATGAACTTGGAGCACTGTTAGCTGTTTCTGACAGAAGCCTTGAGAAAAAAGGTGTGAGGTTGTTACCTGTACTGATCATTTCTAAACACTGATATTCCATGAAACTCTGTGGATCTATCAGTTAAAGATTTATCTAAACGTTTTAAAGTAAATTTTCTTAAATTATAATCTATTTTGGTAACAGTCTGAAGTAGTTAACATATTAATACATAGGTCACTGAAAGTTTTGGGACAGGCTGTGTTATGGTCCACTATTTCACTTCCAAGCAACACCATGGACAGCGTCCTTTTTATTTGACCGGTGCAGATTTCAACTTGCTGGGCTTATTGGTGTTGCTGGGAGGGCTTCGTTTGTTTTTCTGTCTGGGTGGATTTTACTTTTCTTGATTATTGTGTGTCTCAAAGCTTTTGTAATGACCCACATACCTCTTTGTCTTTACTTTGTCTTTTTGAAGCCTTAATAGCTATACCATAGTTGTTGAGGTTCTCAGTATCTGCATTCACTGCTGTGATTTCAGAGTCTTTTCTTTCCTCATGCAACCTTTGTCTTTCCCATTTGAAAAGTCTTGGGTTTTTATTTTTTTTAAGACATAAAAGCATACTCAGCTTGTTCTAATATGGTATGAAAAAGGTCAGAAGTGAAAGCAGAGAGGTGTCTTAGAAATCCTCCCCAAAAAGCAGTTCCAGGTGTGAGCAGAGCTCAAGGCTGGATAGGTATGAAGCAGCTCCTCTTGGGTCTGGCCACTCTGGTGGCTAAGGTGGGTATGCTGTCAGGAGACTGTTGAATCTCTCCCGGTGTCTTACGGACTCTGGGTATGATCCCTGATACTGTCTCCTTGTTGACCCTTACAACATGAGGACCCATATATATGTATATAATCTCAGCTGTTGATGAGTTACAAAACTTACTCTCTGGAGTGTAAAAGGGCAGCATAACATTACATAGCAATGTGCTACAGCTGATCGCCTCCTAATGCCACCAGTGCCTCCCTTTGGAAAGGAGGCTACGTGGGAGAATGGAACCATAGTTCGCGTTACAATTCTGGGGTTTGATCCTGGCTTCAAGTGTGGCATATTGGCGAGTGCATGGGCATGGAAATCAGATGGGTGTGGGTTTGCAGCCCTTTCTCAGTTGCTGGCTGTAATTTTCAGCACATTACTTAACCTCTGACGCTTAACGTTGTCTTTTAAATGGCAACAGTAGTGTCGATGTCACAAGGTTATTGTTGAGTTTGAAAGAAACACAGCGACCCACGGTAATTTCCAGCTGTTGTTCCTGAGCTCGCGTTTCTTCATCATAGGGGAATAAGTGAGTTGAGCTGCTATATATGTACTTCTAGCTCGAAATCTCCACAAAGTTTAAAATAATTTGACCCTTCCATACACATAACACCTGGTGCTGATTTAGAAAATGTCAACTGTGATAAAACTAAATCAGAAATAACCGATATTAACTGAGCACTTGTTTGCCAGGTACTGTTCAAAGCTCTACATAGAGCATTTAATCAATCATGGTAAGGAACTCTGAGAGGTGTAGATGTTGTCACAATACTCATTTTACAGAAGTGCAAATAGGACTTAGAGAATTTAAGTAATTGACTGTATAGGGCGCGCTCCTTACTCAACAGAGGACTGCGGGCTTGAGCAGAGGGAAAAGCTGGGCCAATAGTTATGCAGTCAGCGTAAACCTCAGTCAATAGCAGTGCGGTCAATCTACCACCTCAGCCAATAGCGGGAGCTCAGGAGCTGTGTGACCAAGCAAAGCGGTGTTAACCTTGGGTTGAGGTGTGAGTTTTTACACCCCTCTGTCAGTTTGTGGACTCTGGCTGTTCCCTGGAAAGCGCGGGTGCGGGGGCTCTCTGCAGTGCTCCGCAGCCGGAGAATGCTTGCTCGAGTCTTGCACAGGGGTCCGGCCGGGCGCACTCTACAGGACCGGGCGGTGCGCCGCCGCACGTACTACAGGACGGGGGTTCGGGCGGTGCTCCGCAGCGCACACTACAGGATGGGTCCGGTAGTGCACCGCCCCGCGCACTACAGGACGGCGCGCGTCTTCCTGCGCAGGCCCTGGGCTCCGACTCCGAATACTCAAGGGAAGATTCCATTTCTTTTAATTTGATGTGACCTTTGTCAGGACGATTGACAAAGAAGGTGCTAAACATAGTTAAGTGAGTAGAGGTCACACTGAACCTAAAAGACACTTAAAGAGGAAACCTTTAGGAGACGGCAGCTGAATTGATGAGGAGGAGAGGAGGTGGCTGATGGCGGAAGATCCAGTTTGAGCAAAGGCAGGGAGGAAACAGCATCCTGTTTTCAAAAACGGTATAGAAAGGGCACCGTAAATATGTAGTTGTTAATTATACCTTAATAAAGCTGGAGGAAAGGCCTCAGTAGAGGGCCCGTGCACTCACTCGGAGGGCTGAGGCGAACTCAGAGCCACGGATGAAGGTGCGAGTCGGGCCCCCGTCCCGGCGCTCGTCCTCCTGCACCGGGACCGGCAACACCCGCAGAGTGAGATCAGGGGCCTAACGCCTGGGTGTAGTGCTTTCATCCGCAAAATGAGTATAATTCCCACACAAAATATCCGTAGATTGTAGAGACAAGGTAGAAGAAAGAGCTAAATGTATAAGGTAGACCAGAGGCGTCCGGAAATACAAAACAGTGGAAACTCATTACACTATTTATTTTCTTCGTCAGTTTCAGCTACTTAGTTGCCGCGAAGCTCAGACCGGAAGCCAAAGCCCTACGTGCGCGATCCGCAGGGAGCGGCTGTCGCCATGGCGACACCGGCGGGTGGGGCGGCCGCGGGTTCCACCCCCATCACGCCGCCGCGCGCGCCCGTGCTGTCCCGCTTGCCCGCGCCAGCCATTGGCTGGCCGTGCAGGTCTCACTATCCTCACTCCATCCACGGAGCCAATGGAGGGGCCCGCCAGGGATCTACTGCCTCTGGTCACAAAACGCAGGCGAACGCACAGACCAATCACTGCACCGAGAAGGCGGGCGGAATCCTCACTGCCCAATTACCGCAGGAGGGACTGGCTGAGGCAGGTGACTGGGCCCTGCAGTCAGCTGGTGACCGGCCAGGTGAGGGGAGCTTCTAGCGACTGGTGAGCAAGGAAGCCGGTTCCGCGGCTCTGCGAGGTTCAGCGCTGCGGGAGTGAAGCGAGGACGCGCACGCGGGCGGGACGCGGAACCCCAAGGGGTGGACTGGGACTCTAGCGGCATGCGGGGGTGGGGAAGGTGCGTGCTCGGCCGGAAGGAAGCGGTGCGCGTGGAGTGAGGCTCTTAAGTGGTGGGACCCGGCTAGGGCGTGTTTCTTGCTCGCTAGAGAGTGTGCTGTTTTCAAGAGACGAGACGTGTGCGACAGTCACAGAGCAGGGTGACAGCGATGAAGGGTGTACAAAGACAGAGGACCACAAGGAAGACGAGGTGTGGGGTCGGGCGGGGCGTGGAAGGGAGGTTGCTGAAAGATGAATAGGAGTAGGGTGGGAGGACATGGCCGGGTAAGGAACGATGTTTCCGTGGGCAGAGGAGTGGTCAGACGCAGGAGCGTGGAACGTCGATCCCGAGCAAACGATGGGTGCAAGAAGACTGCCTAACAGGGCTCCTGTGCATTGCAGAGGGCTTGGTCTTTGGCTGCAGGAATGGCATTCCCTTGAACTCGGAGTGTTTTAGGGAGTTTATGATGTTAACGTGTATCCTGGCGTTGTGACTTACAGGTAGGATTTAAGAAGGACGAACTTGGACGCAAGGCAGCAGGTGTTTAGTTGGGTTAGTGTGTGAAGACTTAGATCAAGACAGCATGAGGGGGAGACTTAAAACATTCTAAGTGAGGTGACTAGGTGATGGTGCAGTTCACCAAGGTAGGCGTTAAAGGAGGTAGAGAGTATCTGGGAGAGAGTTTGTGAGACGTTAAAGGAGGTGGAGAGTATCTGGGGCAGAGTTTGTGAGGCCCAGTTGCTGAACTTTTGGACACGTCGAGTTTGCTATGCCTTAGACTGTCTAATTGGATTTGGCTGGTGGGCTTTTGGATAGTCATATCCTGGAGTTCAAAGGAGAGGGTTAAAGATAGAGATGGTGGGCATCACTGTAGTTTTTTGTTTTTTTTTTTTTGAAACAGAGCCTCAAGCTGTCCCCCTGGGTAGAGTGCTGTGGCATCACAGCTCACAGCAACGTCCAACTCCTGGGTTCAAGCGAGTCTCCTGCCTCAGTCTCCCAAGTAGCTGGGACCACAGGCGCCCACTACAATGCCCTGCTATTTTTGGTTGCAGCCGTCATTGTTGTTTGGCGGCCCGGACTGGATTCAGACCTGCCACCTTAGGTGTATGTGGCTGGCACCTTAGCCACTTGAGCCACAGGCACTGAGCCATCACTGTAGTTTTAAAACAGAAAATAGAGCATTCAGGGCAATCTGAAATAGTTAGAAGGGAGTAAAGAAGGCATCACTGGGAAACTTTCCAGCCTTGTATGTCAAATCTTTCTTTCTCAAAAGCTATACCACAGACACAATGAATTGGAAAGTGCTGTATTCTTTCTCATCTCTTGGTCGAGTCTTTGGAGCTGCTGTTCCCTCCTTAAAACATCTTCCTTCCAAAGTTTGATTTAGATAGCGTCTTTCTCTAGAAAGCTTATAATGTTATGATGCTTTGGATACTTCTTGATATCCTCAAGAGATTTTGTTTTATGAAGTCAGGCGAGGGCAGCAGCTACTGTTTGAGACTGTGCATGGTGAGCACAAATTAACTATTTGTCATTGAGTCCCAAGAACCAAGGAAGGGGAATGTTTCCTCTGGAAGGAGAGTATCTTCAAGATTGGTCAACTAAAATAACTCCAAAGAATGTTGGATTTAGTATGAAGGGGTTCCTTAGTGATTTTACTAAGAGTAAGTTCAGTGCAGTGATGACAGAAGAAAGCAGACTGCAGTTGCTAGAGAGTAAATGGGAAAGAAAAAAGTGACAATTTATGTAGAGTACTCTTTTTAGGAGGCTTGGATAAACTATAACAATTATTTTCCTAATACTGTAATATTTGTGGTGTGCTTTATTACTTTTGATTACAGTGTGGTTTAATGGATGAGCACATGGGCTCTCCCACTTAGCATTTGTGTGGCTTTGGGAAGGTTCCCTAATCTTTCTAAACCTCAGGTTTTCATCTGTAATAAGATGGGGATAATAAAAGTACCTGCCTTGTGATGGTGTAGTCAAGATTGAAGTTAAAATGTAGAGTGCGTGCAGCCAGCTTAGAACACAGTGTCAAGTAATTGTCAACTGCTTGTAGCTAAGATGTTCCAGGTCCTGTGCTGAGCATTTCACTGTCATTATCTGTTGGACTCACTGCAAGAACTATTGTTACTATCTACTCCCGCGCTTGCTAAAACTGCCTCCCAGAGAGCTTATGTAATTTGTTCGAGGTCACACAGCTAGTAAGTAGTATTTGGTCAACGTTGTCAAATTTGGAAATTCCTCAAGACAAACAAGGATTGGAATGTTTGTCTGATTTTGCACCTTAGAAGAACGGGGAAGACATGTTGGTGGGGGATTGCAAATAGTCTGGGGAGTGATGTGTGTGTGGTTAAGTTGATTGGTTCAAAGAGAGAAATGAGACAGTCTGAGAGATACTAGAGGTTGGAAGTGTTGAGTATGTTTTCAGACTTGAGGGAATGTACCCAGTGAAAAGGAAGGGATGAAAGAGGAGAAAGGATAAGTGACGCGACAATTCCTTTTTTAAAATTATTTTGATAATTAAAAATTTAAGAGTATTGCAAGGCTACACACATTTTGTATACATAATTGGCTTTTGTACATTTTAAGTCAAAAGTTGAATGTCCTACACCCAGAATGTGTGCATTGTACCAGTTACTTGTGAATTTACCCAGCTCTTCCAAGCCCTTGCCATCTACTTGATTTCCACTGAGTTTTACGTCCATGCTGTGTCGTTGTGTCAGTCCACTAGTTCTGGTTTAGTAGTGATACCTGTGGACAAGAATGGTTTCCACTTCATCCAGATTGTTAGGAAAGATACTAGCTCATCGTTTTTTTGTTTGTTTGTTTGTTTGTTTGTTTGATGGCTGAGTATTAGTCTGTGGTACATTTTCTACATTTTATTAATTAGCAATGGACAGTTTTTGATGAGGTAAGACAAGAACTCAAGGGAACTAGTCAGTCTTAGAAGAGAGGATGAGTGAGCAAAGAGAAATTTTGAAGTTGGAATGGCATGGCTGGAACCCTGTAGTCCCTGGTGTAAGTCACTGGAGAATGAGTAGGACAGAAGAATAAGGAGGGGAAGTGAATTCCAAGGCTTGAAGAAGTTGACTGAGCTTCTCAGTATCTCCTATGTAGATGGGATAAAAGGCCAATCTGGGGAATGGGGAGCATTTGAAACATTATCAAGACCTCTCCTGAGGATATAGATTATCTGTTTTTGAGTGGTCCATCATAATTCAAAAATGAGAAACTGGAGTGAATATTTCTGAGAAAGTGGAGTGAATATTTCTAGGAAAGTGGCTTAGTTTTTTTTGTTTTTGATTAGTGACCTTATTAGGCTTATTTATGATATAAGTGGAACATGCTCAATAATATTTAAGTTGTACAGGACGCATAAAGTGGAAAGTAAGATTTTCCTCCTTTCTCCTGTGACATTCCCACAACCTCCTTTCCTAGAGGTCACCACTCTAAATTTCCCTTTGTTCTTTTGTGTGTTTTCTGTTTGTGTGTTTCCATATGGACATATGCATCACAGTGCATAGATGAAAGGCATATCCTTTTTACAGAAACATAAGTGAGGCTCTTGTACACACACATGTATTATTCCGTAACTTGTTATTTAGATTAATATGATCTTAGACATCTTTTCTAAGGAGAACACATCCATCTTACTCATTCTTTTAAATGGCTATAGAATTGTCTATGGAAAGAATTAACAGAATTCATATAACTTGTTGATGGATTATTTATGTTTTGTTTTCATTTTATTGTCTTTGTTTTTGCTATTATAAACAGTGCTTTCTGCTAGCTTAGCACATCTGTCCTTTGAATAAGAAAATGGCTGGGTCAAAGAATGGATTCATCTTGAGTTATGGTAGATAATGCTAATTTTTCTCAGCTGATAAAACTGATTTATTACTCCACCAACAATATACAATGATGCATATTTCCTCACACCCTTACCAGCATGCAGCACTATTAAATATTTAAAGATTTACCTTTCAGGCAAAAAGTATCTGTTTTGGGGTGAAATTAAGCTTCTTATTTGTTTAGTGATCATTTATCTTTATTTCTCTTAGAACTGCTTGTGAATGGAACGGCCTCTGCCATTTTTCTCTTGGATTTTTAGTCTTTTTCTAAGGCACACTTTTTAGCTCTTTGTTATAAAAAATGTTGGTTCTCCCAGTTTGTCATTTTGTGCTTGACCTTGTTTATGACTGTCTTTTTATTCCTTGGTCAGAAAGTATTTAATTTTTATGTAGTCATATTTGACAGGCTTTTTCTTTATAGGTTGTTTCGGTTATAAGTACACTTTTTTTTTTTGAGACAGTCTCACTATGTCGCTCTCCATAGTCTCCCTCAGCCCAACCTGAAACTCTTGGGCTTAAGTGATTCTCTTACCTCGGCCTCCCAAGTAGCTGGGATTACAAGCTCCTGCCACAACACCTGGCTATTTTTTTGTTGGAATTGTCATTGTTGTTTAGCTGGCCCAGGCTGGGTTTGTACCCAACAGCCTCGGTGCATGTGGCTGGCGCCATAACCACTGTGCTACAGGCACCAAGCTTATTAGTACACTTTTAAACCCAACTATTCATTTAAATCAGAAGTTTTTCTATAGAGGCCACGCTGTGAATCTTTAAAGATAGTTCAGAATTTCTTTTCCACTGTTGTTCTTTCAGATACTGCTCTGAAAAATAACATTGGTTTTTAAAGGATTATTTACAAACTGAGATGAGGATGCTATCCAGTAGATTTTTTTTTAGTCATGTAGAACCTGAAAAATTGGTACTCCCTTAGTAATGATCATTGTTAAAATGATCAGAAGATGCATTTTAAAAACTATTTTGGAAGCTCATCATTTAGCTTATTTGTTTATTTATTTATTTTACAGAATTAAAAGGCTGTCTGCAGAGAGCTGAAAAATGGCAGCAAATCAAAGTGTCGGCATCTTTAGCTCGGCTTCCTTGGCGGTGGAGTATGTAGATTCTCTTTTACCTGAGAACCCCTTACAAGAGCCGTTTAAAAATGCTTGGAACTATATGCTGGATAATTACACAAAGTTCCAGATTGCAACCTGGGGATCTCTCATGGTTCATGAAGTCCTTTATTTCTTGTTCAGTTTACCTGGATTTTTATTTCAATTTATTCCTTACATGAAGAAGTATAAAATTCAGAAGGTGAGTACAAGGCACTGGAAATGGATATTATCGTTAGTGCTGTTGAAGATTTTGAAAGTATATATAGCTTTATTTTGAGAGACTTTAAATCAGTGATGTCCATCAGAAATATAACAATACCACATATACATGTATAATTTAAAATTTTCTAGTAGAATATTTAGAAAGGGTAAAAAGAAATGGGAAAATTAATTTTCATAAGTTTGTTAACTCAGTAAATGTAAACTGTTATTTTAATTAGTGATCAAAATTAAAAAATGCTTAATGAGATATTTTATATTCTTATTTTAATAATAAGACTTCACAATCTGGTATGTATTTCACCTTACTTTTAGCACATCTTATTCTGGACTGATCATATGTAAAGTGTTCAGTAGACACGACTGCTCCTGTACTAAGCTGCACTGTCGCTGACCATTAGTGGTAATACTTCAAGAATAGTCTGTTAAGTAGGACTGTAAGTAGATGTGGTGTTTATTGAATTTGGGTTTATAAAATCAAAGTTTTAAACTGGCTGGAAAGGAAGGTATGTTGATTTGTGGGTATTATTTTGCAATTCACTCCAGCCTCAGATGTTCCAACAAATCTAGTGAAGGTTAATATGCTAAGACCTTGATCAAGATACTTTCTGGCCCAGGCCGCGTTTGGACCCACCTAAATATATGGTGGGTTCTGTAGCATTCATATCCCAAAGGAAGAGACAACACTCCTGGTTTCTAAGTATCTCCTTCACTGCACTCAGCGTCCCGGGAGAACCCACCATGCACAGGACAGGGAGGACTCTGCTACCACGTGGGCTGTGAGCTGGACACAATTCCCAGAAGAATCTGGAGTAGCTTATTTAGAGAGAGAGGTGATTTATCAGCCCTAGGTAACCCATGATAGTTCCTAATGATGTTTACTTTCCGAAAAAGTTGTGCCAAACTAAAACTCAAGGGTACGCAGCCTCAGGAAAGTAGATACTTTGAGAGTGCTCACCTGTGGAAGGTAAATTACATTCACTTGGCATGGTTGGCGGCCTGCATCCATAGGTTCCACATCTCTGTGTTCAATCTTCTGTAGATTGAAAATACTCAGGACAAAAAACTGTGTGTGTCCTGAGCAGGTACAGACTTCTTTTTCTTGCCATTAGTCTCTAAACAATACAGTATAGCAATTACTTACTTGTTACTTGTGAATAACATTCACAACCTGAATGTTATGTAAGTAATTATAAGTGATTTGGAGATGATTTAATGTACACGAAAGGATGTAGGTTATATGCAAATGCTGTGTTATTTTATATCAGGGACTTGAGCACCCTTGGTTTTTGGTATTTGTGAAAAGTCCTAGAACCAATCCCTGTAGGAACCGAGGAACAACTGTATGCTATGTGGGTGGCTGGGGTACACACATTCTCTCTTCAGTCTGTCAGGTTCCAGCGAGCCCCACAATCACAAGCATTCACATTAATCCTCTCTGGGAATAACACAGTCACTGAGGACTCCAGGCTAAAGGAGGGAAGAGTTCGGACAAAAGGGGAGGGAATAAAACGGGATATGACCTAAAGGAGAATATCGTGTTACCTTCAACTAAGGTTACAAGTTCCAATGTGCTTTCTGTAAAAGCTCCTGCTTTGAAAGGCAGAATTCAGTTTGAATGTGTAAGTTCTAATGCATCTTTAGATTGATTCTGGCTACTGTGTTAAAGAAGTAGATCCTGCAAGGTCTATTTTACCCACTGATTTATTTATAAGACTCATTCATTGTATGGCTGGGCAGGAAAAGGCTTCCTAATTGACTCATTGGATTTTTTTTTTTTT